GAAATTGAATTTACTGCCTGGAAACGTCCGAGGGCAGATTACACAATGGGCCAGGCCGGGACTGACTCTGGGGGTCCCGCTGCCCCGTGTGCAGAGCAGGCCCGCCCAGGAGAGCTGGGCTTATGGGGAGCTATGCAAATAGAGGTTAGCATTCATTTCTGCTGATGAGGACGTGGGGAACCGCTACCAAATTAAATTAAGAGGCGAGCAGCAGCTACTCCCCAAGGAGGACCCTTAAATCACGGTTCTTATGAAGTGGATTATTCATCGGTGGTCGGGGAATTAATTAGCGTCGGAGGCAGGAGTTGGGGCGGCGGCCACCCCGCACCCTGGGGGGCAGCGGGCCCGCGGATGTGACGTGGGTCTGGCCCAGGCCCCTGTGGCTTTAGCTTTGTTCATCTGGGAGAGAACAGAGGACCAGAGAGAAGGAAATGCAAGCTGCAATCAAGAAGGAACAATTGCACCCTGGCTGGTGTTGCTCAGTGGGTAGAGCATTGGCCTGCGGACTGAAGGGTCCCGGGTCCCATTCCGGTCAAGGGCATGTATGTCAGTTGCAGGCTCGATCCCCGGCCTTGGTCGGAGCTCGTGTGGGACGCAACTAATCGATGTGTCTTTCTCATCTCTCCCTCTTTCTCTCTCTCTCTCTCCCCCCCTTCTTCCCTCCCTTCCACTCTGTCTAAAACTCAATGGAAAAATATCCTCAGTGAGGATTAACAACAACAAGAATAAACAATTTATACTTTCGGGCCACATGGCGGTGACAGCGGGTTCCCAGAAAAGAAACACGGGTGCTCCCCGACTTAGGAGGGGCCGACGTCCCGTCAAACCCATCATGATCGAAAACACTGTAAGTGGAAAACACCTGGGATCTACCTAACCTACCGAACGCCCTAGCTCAGCCTGGCCCACCTTAGCTCAGAACACGGCCATGAGCCCCCAGCTGGGCAGGGTCCTCCAACACAAAGCCTACTGTGTTGGAGGGCCGGACTATAGTTTAAAAAAAAACTGTGAACAAATTCCTATGCACACGGCACATATCTTATTTTGAAGTAAAAAAACAAAACAGGAACAAATACAATATTTGTATTTGCATGTGGCCTGCGGGCCGTAGTCTGAGGACCCCTGGCCTGCTGCATCACCAAGTGCTGACTAGCTCCTGTAGTGATTTTCATACGCATCGCTTTTGCACCATCATAACAACAACAACAACAAAAAAATCAGAGGTCAAGCCATCGTAAGTTGGGGACCATCCACTCTATGAGTTCTTCCCCCCCACCCCATGCTCTCTAAACCAATTAAGAAGTGGCCAGGCCACCATTTGTCTTTTGCGTGGGACTGACCACGAAGAGATCGAAGAACGGACCTATTTCCAAGCCTGATGGGAGGGAAGGTTCCTGACTCCGAGATGCCTCCTTCTCTGGGGCATTATCAACGGGGAGGGGGTTCCCCCCGGGAACACATACTTCCGCTGAACACCTACTCTCCTGTGTGCTTAATGGCGGGGCCGGCATCGCGGGCACTCCGCCGCCACACATGACACACAGCCGCCCATACATCTCCCGCACCGCGCCGGCTGATAATGGCGTCTGTTAACACGCGCTAAGTACTATTATGTAGCACATCACTTCATAAATAATAAGATTAGCTGACCCCGGGGCCCCGAGAAGAGTCGCGTGTGTAAATGTTCTCATTATTTATTTAAAGCAAGAATTAAAGCAACAGAAGCTGCGTCGGACAATCCTCTTAGCATAAATATTAAACTGTTTGCACCGATAAGCCCCGCGCGGCACCGGGAACGGAGGGTGCGTTCTGCAGACGCCTGTGCGGGAGTGGGTGTGGGAGACGGTGCCACTCGCCGCCGCGGTCCCCGGGGCGCCTCTCCCCAGGGCCAGAGACGGTCTCTAAGTCACATGAAAGCGATGGGAGGAAATTAATACTCGAGGGGAGCCGAGGCTAATTACAGAGGAGCCTGGCAGGGCTGTTTAAATGGCGCTTTCTTCGCTGCCTGGGAACCAGAGAGGGATGTGCAATGATGCTCACTCAGAGAGGGATGCCCAGTGATGCTCACTCAGAGAGCATTGCTCAATAGGAAGTTACTCCAAACGGAGCACCTCCTCCCGCAGCGGGAAAATGGTGGGCGCACACAGTAACCCAGTTGGCAGATCAGCCGGCTGGATGAGGGCTGACCCACCTAGAATATCAGGAGGTTTGCAGACAGTCGATAGGGGTGCTTTCTCACCTGTCAATGGGTTCTGCCCCTCCCCTGGAGAAAGTGCGAGAGATTTCACAGCCTGCTGCAGAGGTCTGCGGAGGCCGCGGTGCACACGCCTCCCCAGCCCACAGGCTGCGATGGGCCGGCCATGCTCCCCCACGCGTGGAGCCTTCCCGCCCCCCCTGCCGAGTGGATGCGGATGGTCTCCTTGCCAAACCAGAATGCGGACAGAGTGCAGCGTAGGCTGAGCTCGTCTGGGTGTGAAAGCGTGGAACACTGGCTTAGGCTTTGGGCTCAAATAACGTTCCTACTTGGGACAAATTACCCAGGAAACGAGAGCGTGCCGGTGTCGTCCACACAGACCTTCGCGTGACAGTAAGCCAGTGTGATTGGCCAGGACGAGAGGACCTTTCTAGAGAGAGGGACACACTGTGCCCAGGGTTCCCGAGGAGAGCAGATCATTCCAAACCCGGCTAAACAGCAAGCAAGTCATAGGTCCCCCTTTCCACCTTGTCCTCTCACCTCCCATCTTAAAGGAAAACCTTCCTTTTAATGCTTCGGGTTAGCGAATAAACGTGAATCTACTCGGGAGCCCTGTTCCTTTCCTGAAGCAAAGGAAAAATAATGTAGACTCATGCTCTTTCCATTCAAAGAACTTGATAAGTCACCCCCTGGGCCCCCACCCTACAAACTCTCACTGCTTAGGAATGGTTCTCCCTGAAGGATCGACCTAGTGACGTAACGGGAAACGGTTGACAGGTGTCCTGTGGGTGGCCCCTGTGCAGACTGCCTGGAGAGTCCCCTCCCCCACACAGGTGTCACTCCCGGGGGCCGCCGCCCTCGGATCTCCCCCGGGGCCACACTTAGATCCGGCTGACCAGGGCCGCGGCTACATTAGTGGACACTGGCCGCCCTGCCGGGATTAACCACTTTAGCTGAAGTGTGTGTTAATTAGGGGTATGCAAGCCGTCGATACGAGGTTAATGCAGAGGTCAAGGGAGACACTCCTTCCCTCCTTGCATCACTTCACAGACGGGGTGACGAACGCCGGGCTCCGTGGTTCTGAATCGATAGGTTTTATAGTAATGCTTTGGCCATCGATTTTAAGAAAACACATACGGTCTTCCTCCTCGTCCCTAAATATTGCCGCAAATAAAGGACAGGTAACATCCCCATCACTCTCGAGGGGGCCATGAAGGACGGTGTCAGGAGCAATGGGTCCCGCTACAAGATTCGTCGGGGGGTGTGTGTGTCAGGGGGGAAGCAAGCTTTAAAAAAAAGTACAAAGAAACTAGACCTTGATGGAGAATTATTACAAGCACGGGCCACTGAGGAGACAAGAGGAATGAACCCCTAAGAGGGAGTTCCTTCAGGGAAGGGAGAGAGCAACGCTTGATGAGAAGGACAGCGACATTTTGTGCGCTGTTTAAACGCCCCCAAGGGTCTTAGCACACGACACAGGTTCATTCGGTTCTCACCATAACCCGAGAGAGACGGGAGGGGGGTCTCGGATCCCAGTTCGGGGTGAGGGCTGCCTCCCCCACGGTCAATCCTTGGGAAGTGGGAGAGAGGGCGGGGCCAGACCCTGGGCATCTGAATGGCTGCCCTGCCCCCAGACCCCCCCCCCATTTCCGGGGAGTCCCATTTGGTCTCAAATGGGCCCTGTCCCTGCCGACGTAGCTCCTTTGGCCAAGTTAGATCTTCAGGAGATTCCAAACCACGTCGGGGAAAACAGGAAAGCTTTTTATTTCCCTTCACATTTCTACAAAGACTATGATTATAGCCAACGACGGATGACTCGTTTTCTTACATAAGCATCTAGAGCAGCGGTTCTCAACAGGGGTCGCCTAAGACCATCGGAAAACACATATACAATTACATATTGTTGTTGTGATGAATCACTATGCTTTCATTATGTTCAATCTGTAACAGTGAAATGGGGGGTCCCCACAACACGAAGAACTGTGTTAAAAGGTCGCGGCATTAGGAAGGTTGAGAACCGCTGGCCTAGAGTCTATAGGAATAAGAGATACACGTTCATCTTTTACGAACATAAACTGCCCCGGCTGGTGTGAGTCTGGGCATCCTGTCCCCCACAGCAATTCCGATGGTGGAAGGGGAGGATGTTTCACATCACGTGGCAGCTAATTCCCGACAGCACCTCCATCTCGGCAAAGGCCAGCCTTAGGTTGGCTCTCACAAAGGATCCGGCCCACAGCACAGGCCTCCGGAGCCCTCCCCGCCCCGCCCCCCCATCAGGGCCCCCCCAGGCTCGTGGAGCCACTTAATACGTGAGAGCGCTTGGCCCTCCGCTGGGGTGTAGGTCCGGGAGGTGGGGGGCTGAGAACGGTCGTAGCCCCGGGCTGGGTTCATTTGTCGGCCCGTCGGTTCCATAATGAGGGCGATGAATGGGCC